GGGGGGGGGGGGGTTCATAATAAAGGAATTGTCAAAAACTGGCTTTTGTTTTTTGTTGTTTGACTTTTTCAAGGTGTGGTGTGTTTATTTACTTTTTTGTGAATGAGTCTGATATGAATTTGTAGGGGAACCCCAAGCCTTTTTTTTGGGGGACACCAGGGTCCTCCCTAACATTCCTACCAGACCGAAGGGGTCTATTTTTTGACACAATTTCCAGGATTCGGTCCACTTTCACGGGAAAAAATATTTTTTCGGCTTTGCTGAGCCGAAGCATGTTCGTTCAAGTAGGCTGGCTGGTGAAAGGGAGATCAGCAGCAAGATATAAACAATCATCTGAAACTGCAGACACGAAGTATGCAACTGGTTAATTGGATTTAGGTTAGCATAGTGCGCCTAACCTTTAAAGTCTAGTTAGTCATCACAGTCTTACCATTTGTTTTGTAATTAAAGCAGCTACATCTAGTAGAAAAGACTGTCCCGCTTGTGCTGTTACACAGTTGTAATAATATGACACAATGCATAGCCACGGATAATATTCATATTAATGTGAAGTGAGAATTTTATGTAGTTCATTTTCCTTAGCCATTAGCTCATTGGCATTAGTAGCTGGTTATTATAATACCATCTTGTGGGAGTTTTGGTTATTGCACCATGTCTTTCTGTGTTCCCTCCCATCTATGATGTATTTCCCCCTTCTTCAAGAACTAGTTGTTTAGTGTCATGGTTGCCTATAGCAGGATCACATGTATATGCTAGCTTGGAAACATTATCATCCTTGACCTTCAAATACCATCTGTTCATTTATCTGATGTATCGTGTTGTCTGCTGTAATCTGCTGCTGCACTTCGGTGGATGAAAAGGTTTTTGGTGAGTTCAGCTATCTGATAAGGATTGTCCCCAGTGATTATATCTGCTTATACAGGCCAGGCATAGAGGTCTCAGAAAGGGATACATCGCTAATACAACAATCAGAGTCAGAATACCGCTGCTGGCTCTGTGAAAGCAGTGGTCCTGTAGTGATCTGACTCTCCTTCCATTGAGTCACAGAGCTCTCCAATCAGCTCTAGTTCTGGTTCAGCAAGGAATGCATACGAACACTGCAGTGAGACTGCTGCTTCTACACAGAGAGCAGCAGTCCTTCTCAGTAGCATGACACTAAGAGACAGGCTTTCCTACTATAGCTCTAGCTGCTTTACGATCAAAATGAATGGTAATACTGCAAACGCTAACCTGTTTTTACTGCTCTTAGGTTTTATTGACAACATTTTCAAATGAGCTTTAAGGTTACATGGCAGGTTAATGTACCGACTAATATTTGAAATACACAGCCTGAATATTACCTTCTGCACTATGTATGTGCTGGGCCTGAGTCCAAATATCTTCCAGATAATCTTTAATCCTCCAGCTGAAAGGTAAACAATTTTCCCCAAATACAGCGATATTCATGTAGTTCTTCACCAGAATGGTTTTATTCTGTGAACTGGAACACAAACAGCCAAGTCAGACAAGCAAACTTTTAGCAAGTATTGTAATCACAACTTAAATGACTGTCTAAGCATCACTGATTTTTTAATACAGGATAAATCCTAGCACAGCCATATTGGCTCATTACTCATTTTGGCTCAGCTTCTTGGTTGTGCTTTGCTCATTCTCTTAACTTACAGCAAATTTTCCAGATAAAGTGAAAACAATTACTTCTATGTAGTCTCTAATGATGGGAAATGCCCACAAAACTCTTATGATCTTAGACTAGAGAGATACAAGCAGCATATTGAAACCAGAAAAAGGCATGTTTCCAATATTAATGTACTTTGGCACACAAGTTATAAGGATTTATGTGGAGTGTTTTTTTTAGTGACAAACCCACTTTAAAGAGACCCTGTCACCCTGCCCATTCAGGCCAAAGTGACAGATGCTTTTCATAGCGCACCCCCTGACCTAGTTCTACTCACATGCCGAGGGCACCAATGCAGCTCCTCTATCGGTCACAGCTGCTGCATAATAACCTTTTATACTCAGTGTGGGGAAAGCATGTGACCTCCTCCCATGCTGCAGTACTCTCTGCATCTGTCACATGACAGAGGATGTGACATTGGCCCATGTAAGTGCCAACACCTAGTATTTTATGCTAGCTGCAACGGAGGAAGGAATGGCAGGGGAGCACTATAAATGTAAGTATAAGGTGGTTGGGGGTGTACATGAAAATGTTTTCACATTTTTTCTGGAGGAAGGAAAATTTAAGTAAAAACAAAGAAAATCATTTTGCTCATTAATTATTTAGATGTTGTAGTAAAATTTACCTGTGACTATTTGAGATAAGCAGAAGATTTTCATCATGAAAAATGTACATCCATAGGCATTTCACATAGTCTTCCACATGCTTTGCCACAAGGAGGTCCAGGTTGGCATTACGATCAACAACAGACAAGATTTGGGACAGAAGCGGTGTGACAGCGGTCTGAACACGTTTCCAAAGGGTTTGCCTGCACAGCATAATATTTTTATTGTATTATACAAAGAATGTTACAGCAATCATATCGGTTTCTTTAATACAGCAGCTTACAATAAATAAAGCTACCAGCTTTCTGAATGTGTTTTTTTTATTTTGCTCTATTGGGATATACAAGTATAGCTATGATGATGCTGCAATAATGTTTCATAAATACTAAGGTAATAGGTAGCTCTAAGGGAGGGACTAGTTTACTCTTCTTCAAACATTAATACATGAATGAAGTTTAAATTGCATCTAAAACCAAATTATTATTTTTTTGGGGGGGGATTGAGTAGGGAGTGATTAAAACACCATGAACAAAAATGCACAGAGTCGGACTGTCTTTACTATAAAGTCAGTCCGACCCTGTGCTTTTTTGTTTATGCTAATTGCTGGTTACTGATGCGGTAGACAGACCTTTCAAAAGGGTAATTTATAGAGCTTTGAATCTCCAGGAGTAAAACAACCCTAACTTGTTCTAATGATTAAAACCCCTAATTCGTATTTTTCCTGTCTATGTCTCACTGGGGAGATTTTCCTTCGTCAGAACACAACCGCATAGGTGATCTCTCCAGAGAAAGGGGAATCCTCTCTTAGACAGTTGTAACCAGAATAAGTGTCTCTACTGGAAGCTTTCACTTTTATTTCTGTTCTGGTGACAACTCAAAATGTTAGACTATGACCCACTTTCAGTCTCATTGACAATAGTCACCAGGACAAATAGAGAGAAATCTTCCAAATTGGGATAGAGAGCAATAAAAACCTGACATGAGTTCTAATTCTTTCCTCCTCTATCCAGAACTATAAAATAAAGCTTTAGATAAACTTTATTTTGAGGTACCTGAAAGTTCCAGCTTCCTGCAGAGCATCCTGATTTGCAGCCTCCCGTATGACCCATTGTTCAGGATTATATACATTTTCTTCCTGTATTTTTAGCAACTTGAACAGGCGGTTCTTCAGCATTTTTAAGAAAGAGCCTATGGGCACAAAACACATTAAAATGTCAATAAATATAGAGGATGATAAAGTAATACAGAGTGCCAAAAACTAGTCAGTCTAGGTGCCAGAATTATAGAGAAGTGATTTCACTGAAATAAAGACAAAGGCTACAAAACGTTAGTCCCCTCTGGCAGCTTTATACTTAACATCTGCTATCTTCCTAGTTCCTGGAATAAAATAACTTCCATCTTGCTGCAGACTAATGACAACAGAAGCTGCGCAATCCCATTCCATGTTTAATTTATCCAGCCCAGGCAGGTGGAAGACAAGGTGTAGGTCAGGATAAAATACAGTATATAAATAGATTGAGTGGCCAGATTATTATGACCACCCCATCAGTACTTCGTGATGACTCCACGAGATGACTTTGTTGAGCAGCCTCGTGACTCCACGAGATGTTGAAAGGTGATGCGAGGAATCTGACACTGCACTGTTGCCCTTCTGTTGTCTTGTACCAGTCTTGCCGCTCTCCATTCTGCCCTAACATTGACTAGTCGCTGACGGCCACAATTTGCACGTTCAGACCCAGATTTTCGGATGACAGTCCAGTCTTTAAACACTTTAAGAACAGCTATTCTTGAACATTTAACGAATTCTGCTGTTTTGCAGATACTCGCTCCATGGCTGAGAGCGCCAACAATCATCCCATGTTCAAAAGCTGGTAAATCGCGTTGTTTACCCATATCTTCAGAAAAAAATCACTTCTACTGTCGTGGTAAACAACCTGCTTCCCTATTTATAATGGTCTGGCCCTCTAGCAACTTCAGCGCAAAATTATAGCTAATTATAGCTAATTTGCCTACAAACATCTGGTGGTTATAATAATCTGGCCACTCAGTGTATGTATTTTATCTATGTATTAAGTGGTTCACCTGGAGTTCAGCTTTAACATTACCAGGTGTGCATTTAGCTGTTGGTCCAGGTTTTTACTTTAAAGACCATGTCTCTAGGGAGATGTAGTTCTGAGGCGTGCCGTGGTTAATAGGAACTGACCTCCCAGCAGCTGCTCCTCTGGGAATTTTACAAGCCTGGTGATGATGTCACAGAGAGTAAAAAAAGTTGGTTCTCGCTCCAGGAACACGGTAAAATAAAAATAATTACTGCTAGGGCATTATGTAGAGATGGAGAGAAAGATTTTGGGGTACATATGGGTAATGCCTAGATATGCACTTTAAAGTAAACCTATCATGAGAAAAATATGGGGCCACCATCTTTCTGAAATTACCAGTTGTTGGGCTCTTATACCTCTATAACACTAATCTAGGACATGTATGCAGAAAAAAGAAAGTTGAAGGGTAACCTGCATACTTACTCCGGGACAGTGGTTCAATGTATCTCAATGTATTAAAGCAAAAGAGTCAATATAACAGCCAGGTGTTTCGCATTTTCAGAGGGGATATCAGCAATGGCCTATGAAGGAAATCTGACTGGTTGCTGTGGGTACCAACCCTTTTATTCTACTGAATGCAGTTCAATATCTTAGATTTTCTTTCCAGACAAAATTACAGCAAGTGCAGTAAACAATTCTATTTATTGCCCTCTAAAGAAAGAAATCAAGGTGGTATTAATGGCTGTCACCCATCTGTTCAAGTTATTAGGGATGTTCAGATACCAAGTACCGTACTCGGTATAAGTACAAGTACAGACACTTTTCCAGTTTCAAGGCTAGACTAGAGACAAATTCAAAAGTTAGGAGGCAGCTGTCATTTTCTAAGGAGCACACGGAGCTCCTGGGATTTGTACATCCCCATTTTAATGTATGATTTTGTTTTATAAATATATATCAGTGATGCACCGATACCATTACAAGTACTGATACTTGCCCAAGTCCTCACAGATACAAGTACTGATACATTTTTGTTTATTGTCATGTGACAGTTTTTCTAAAATAATACAGACTAATGATTTCAGGGCAGTGGCGGAGTGCCAGAGCCAGATCCCAGCTGCAACCACTGCAACCCTGGTAGTTCTCGTGAAAATGCCAAGTATCTGTACTGGTATCTGAACGGGTATCTGAACATCCCTACAATTTATACTAAGAATCCAATGAGTGGACTGTTACTTGTAATTTGGTACCAGTAAAGGCAGTTTTCAAATACACCAAGCTGAAAATTAGGAATTTTGGATTAATAATATTATTGACAATTATTAATGCTGTATTTTAAACACCAAAAGGTATGTTGTATCTATTCATACTGTATAAATCTAAAGCTCAAATAAATTCTAACATAACAAATGATATAAACATACTCTTTATCTGATCTTCTGTGCTAAGGAGGCTTATTAGGATCTCAATCCTTCTGGTGCTACGGCTTTCAACATTTTCCTCATCCCTTAATAAGCCTATGGCATTCTGAACACAGCTTCGGATGAGAATGGTGGTGTCCAACATCTGTAAATACATGAAAATAAGCTTGTATGACTTCATGGTGATCAGGAATAAACACTCCTTATAAGGGAAAATTCAATAGAGCATGCAGGAATATGCAAAAGTGAACAGAAACACCCAAAACAGGAAACATAAACTAAGATTGAATTGGTCAGAAAGGTCTCTGCTCTCACTCGGCTCAATTTCAGCAACTGTTCAGCAGAAGTGCCAATAACACATTCACATTCAGTCACTAGACTGAAAACCTACGTGTATGTAGGTATATGCAAAAGCCAATCACAAAAATACATAAAAAACCTGAAAATAATGTAAGAATTACTGCTTCTGGAGTTCCCCCATCACATGTTAAAACAAAACTTTTTTTTTTTAGTTTTGGACAGAGAACAAAATTGTAAGACCGAGGAGGAAGCAAGAAAAAAATCTCTACATGATCCTCATGTAATCTATTTAATGCAGACATTCCTGGATCTATTCTTACATCCTCTGGTCTGGGCAGTGGATCATCAGTTTCCATTTCTTGATCTTCAGAAGTTTCATTTTCAGTCTCCATTTTGTCTTCCATATCTATATCCATCTCTTCGTTCTTGTCCTCTTCATCACCCCTGCCGTGGATCTCACCGTCTTTTTTTCCATGGATCATTTCTACCTCCATCTCTGTTTCCATGTTTGTTTTGTGCTTAGTATCATTCTTTCCTGGTTCTTTTTTCTCTGTAATAATAAAACAAAGAAATCAAAACAGAAAGCACAGAAAATTTGTGTTTCGTTTTGGCCACGTAGGCAAGGTTGCCTTCTCCAATGACCAATTACACGCTGGGAGAAAAGAGGTGACTAAGGAAGTAGATTTGCAACAGCCATTTTTTATCCAGTCTTCGATCGGTTGGTGCCATTTTTTTTTATTTAAGAGGTGTAGGACTTGCAGAACACATGTGAGGGACATTAAAGAAATCCTGAGATTATGATATTACCCAGGTTACTTTTTTGTAGTTCTTATCATTTAAAGGGATCAGGAATATCTTGCTGAAATACATTTATATTTCCATCACTCCAGCTTACCTTCAGTATAGAACAGACGGCTTATGGTGAGATCCTGAAGTGCTGTTACATCATCAACCATATCCTTAGACTTCCTCAGATCATCTATGTGAATGGACTGCCACAATCCTGCAAAAAGTAAAGATCATTAAAGGGTCAATCATGATTGTTGATGGACTGAATTGCCCTTTGGAATTTCATATCTCACTGGAAATCCTGTCTAAGATGTTTGCCTCACAAAAGTCCTCATTACCAGGCAGTCTGAATTTTAGGCACAGTACAATGTTTTTGATAATTCTTGTTTAAAGTGTTTTCCACAGCCGAATTGGGATAACACCTAAAAATAGTTTTAAAATGCTTTTTGCAGTTTAAATTGCTTTTACTTGGGTTAGGGTTTCTTGATTTTCTAAGGGTTAACATTTCTACTTGCTTCTACTTCTTTGTAATGTAAGGAGAGGGTATCAGGTGCGAGCGGTTTGTTAACTATGTTGCACTGTGCTGGCTCATTTTATTATAATGAGTCTTCCCATAAGAACAGATCACTGTAAAGGTGCTCAGAAAAAATGGATTCAGCTATTTTGCCTGCTGCAACAAAATATCTAAAAAGGTAAGAAATATTTAAAATATATATTTTTTGGTATGCTGTATGAATGGGAACACATAATGAACATATAGAGGGGTTTTCTCAAATCTGACTGCAAAAGTGGAAATAAACTTTAAAGTTTACAGGTTTATAACCTGTTTTATATCACAGTTTCTGCTTATTTCAATACAAATTGTATGGTTTCCTTATGATGTCCTAAAGAGAAAGCCCAGCACTAGCTGCTCACGTTCTGACTGTCTTGGCTAACTCCAGGCAGAGCATATATGCAGAGTAGATAATGGGGGTATGACCCTCTTCTGACTTATTCGCCTGTGTGTGTAATTTTAACTCCTGATAATCTGTAGTGTAACGTAGGGCTAGTGATACTGGTTTCCAAGTAGCGAGCAGGTGATTCACATCCACCCAAACGAAATAATAGTGTTGGATTTGGTCTTTAAGTCACAAACCAAACTATTTCCTTTTTAGATAGTGGGTTTAGAATTTTCTGATCCTAGAGGAGAGAGGACACAGCTAATGGTTAGGACTGAATATTAACAAATTCAGAAAAGGTCAAGGTGATGTTTAATTATGCCATTTATTTTAGTAAGATGTTAAGCATTTAAGTCAGATGTTATATGGCATGGGTTAAGTGATGTATGGGCTCATAATAGGATGTGAAGTAGAAACAAACTTACCTCCTCGGAAGCCTACATAAGAAGTGCCTCCTTGCATTCTGGGAAGTTTGGTTATGAAGTAGACAAATACAGACGCTTCTTTGAGATTCACCTTTTGTATCTCATTCACAGCAGCGTACCTAAAAAGAACAACAAAGATTTTCAAAAGTATTTAACAGGTAATATAATGGAACAAAAATGTCCCATGTACTAGACAGTATGCTGTGGTCATCTTTGGGGCTGTACTGACTATGGTTGCTCCATCTATCCTGGGCTGTTAGAAGGAAAGCCATGGATGTCACTCTCATGCACTACCACTGGCCACCATACTTTTTCCTGTTCTGGCATTGGTCAGCGGGGTCTCTGATAGGTCTATAACTGTTCTACTGCCTGTGAGTGCATTTAGTGAGTTTGAATAATAAACAAGTGATTTTATAATCATGTGCTAGGTTGACCTGCTTTCTCCTCCTTTCATGTCTTACCCTATGTATAGGTTATGACATACCAGTATATACAATGATCTAGTGTAACACTGAAACCAGTTCTCTCTAACAAAGCGGGAAAACCTTGTGTATCAGCATGCTTAGGTTTTTAAAAGATTTTATTGTAAAGAAACCCAGTTGAATGTGACTTACTAACATTAAACCATGATCAAGGACATAACTCGTAGGTAGAGGTATATTATATATCATATCATATCTATTATATATTATCTATTGAGTTCCTTCAAGGCATGAGAAAATACATGCACTCTTTTTTTTGCACCACTTTTATATTAGATTCATTTAGTAAAAATGTCAGTACAGTAAACATGCTTACTTTGCTGATGCCACAAGATTTGCTCCTTGGGATCCTTCTTCAAAATCAGTCTGTATAATCAATATTAGATTTCCAGATGAGCATTCAAGAAAACTCCTGCATTAGGAAGAAAAACAAATGATATGTGCAACTATCATTCTTGTTTGTAATTGTGCCAGTATTGCTGTTACTACTATTATTACTATTAGTGTTCATCCTTTATCCTCATTTTATTGACATTTGGTGTCTGGCAATAAATTCCACTTAGTTTATACTATTTTATGTAGCCCTATGTAATAAGAATTACCAATGTACTAAATATTATCATATGTGAAAACTGTTGTTAAATGACAACTTAAAGTGACACTAAACTCAGGAGTTGAATCTTAAAAATGCATTCAAGTACCCTAACTATTAACAAAAATGTATCTTATTTGTGTATCACTCGGCTGTAGATCCTCAAATCATCTCTGAATTGGTGGTGACACTGTCCTTCCTTCTGGAGGGTGGCTACTTTTGTTCCCCATGGTCCCTGTGTGTGTTGTAAAGTAGCCACCGCTCCAAGCTCGCTCCTGTGATGGACTACAATCTCAATACAAAATATTATGAGATTGACGTCTATAACGGGAGCAAGCTTCCAGAAGGAAGCATGAATTCAGAGATGATTGGAGGATCTACAGCTGAGTGATACACAAATAAGATACATGTCTGTTCCTAGTTAAGGTACTTGAATGCATTTTTAAGATTCAACTCCTGAGTTTAGTGTCACTTTAATATCTTCTTTTCTTAATCTCTTCTTATTAGTTATCCTTCTTGATATACTTCCAAATGTTTCTTAATATACAGCAATATTTTGCATATTTATGTCAAATAAGTTTGTATTTATTGAATTTGTCCATATGCATCTGTAATAGTTACTAGTTAAAATTTTATTAAAGAAAATTTAAATAAAAATAAATAAACTTGTATCTGATTCAAATTCACCAAATATTTCTGTAAAACGATTACATTCAAATTCTATGGTGATCACAAACGACAGCCAATGCCATTTACTGTTTTTAAGGAACCTGTACAAATATCGCCAAGGTTCATCCAGCAAACGGTCTAGACTGGGTGTGATGATAATTCTATTATCTTCTGCACTGCCAAGTGAAAACTTACCGAATCTTTTTCAAGAATGAGAACTCTGTATCAAACTGCTGCAGGGACAAAATTTCAATGCTACTGACTTGGCTTCGTAACTCAGTTTCTAAAACCTTTCTGTCAGCAGATGTCAGAAGGCGGGAAAATGTTGTGATCTAATAAAAAGAACCAAGATTAAAGCAGATCTCCAGCCAAACATAACAAGATAAAAATGCATAGCCCATTAAAACAATACAATAACAAAATCTGCATTTGTTGCAATATTCAGCTTCAACACAGAGATTTACCCCGTAGTACTTTTTTGCCACTAGTGGTCTGATGTCCAGGATAATTTGACCCAATACCTCTGAGCCCAGGTCATCGTGGACCTGCACCAGCTTGTGACTGGACAGTGAAAGGAGAAGCAGCACAGTGATGAGCTTATTTCTCAATCACTAGGCTTTTTTCTTCTAATAGCATACTTGTTGTCAGCACATGAACTCCTTGTGCTGCTTCTTCCTTTCACACTCCAGTCCTGCTGTACAGGGACTTCAAGTGGATGATATCAGGTCAAATTCAAGTATTTACACTGCTTGCATTTAATTAAAAAAAAATTAATGATGCATTAACAATGACATTATATATTAAGGATTACAGAGCTGCATTAAAACATTTGTCATGGTTCTGCTCGGAAATCCATTTAACATTTGCCACAAATTACGTAGTTATACTGCATATATTCCCTCTTCTGTTATTATAATGGCAAGTAAAATGTCAGATTTGCTCTGACTTTCTGCCTTGGTGACAGTTACCAGGACAGAACGTGAGAATCAATGTCCACAATGGGGAATCCAACAGCCAAACCCTTCTGTACTTTTCCCCAAAAAAACTAACAAACATGTAAACATTTCTATAGTTTATAATAGCAAACCTGTTTAAATCTCTAAAAAAAAAGGCTACTGATGGTTTTGTGTTTGTCTGTGAAGCTAATAATATGCAAAAAAACAAAATGAGCTGAACTCATTACTACTACTACTACTACTATTTCATACTACTTTAAAGGGAATATTACAAGACGTAGAACAGCTATTAGCAGAGACGTGGGGGTCGGACAAAGCATGGCTCCCACTAATTTCATATATTATATATTAAAGCTCAAACTTTCAATTAATTCTGCTAAAGATATTCCAAAGACAGCAACACAAAAGTTGCTTAAAGTTTGTCTTTTTTTAAAGCAGCCACAACCTGAATAGAAATGCCTGCCCCCTGTCAGCAAGCTATAGAGAAGGAGCCTTGCTCTATTTGAAAGCAGTGGTCTCTCTGCAGGGGCACATCACATCCCTTCTGAGTTAGAGCTAGAGCTTTCCAACTTGCAAATGTCATGCTCCCTGCTGAATAGAGAGCTCTAGCTCTGACTCAGCAGGGGGCCTGTTGGACCTCTGTAGAGGGAGCACAGCTTCCACATAGAAAGCAATGGTCCTTTTATGCAGCACACTGGCAAGGGAAGGCTTTTTTCAAAAGTAAACAAACTATATAAATTTGGGCATTTTTTGTTATGATGTGACCGGAATATATTTAACTGATTTAAACTAAATGTTCATTTGGCTTTTAAAACTTCAGGCAATCAGCTAAATACAAAGATAGAATGCATACATGGGAGTAGTTTTACCTGCCAAAAAATTGTATTTCTGTCCATCCAGTCTTGAGATTTACATATCTCTGCCACACAGCATAGCCCTGTGAGGGGACCAAATCTTTCTATGCTGCTGTTTAACTTTCACTTACAGTTCCCTTCCCCACCCCCACACTATGACTGGCAAGAATCAGCATGCTACCTGCACTCTAGTATACCTGACTGGTTTATTGTGCTGCTACTCCCTCTCTCTGCTGTACACACAACTACAAGAGGTGGATGCCAAGTTAATTTCAGATACTTACAATGCTTGCATTTAAAATATACATTTAATGATGAATTAATGTTTAAAGAGGTGTATTAATGTGTGCCTTTTATGCCCGCCTGTAGTTCGGCTTTAAGGAAAATACGTTAGAATAAAAGCTGCCACTGCTGACTGGCTCAGGACAAGTATAGAGGTATGGAGCCCTGATATCACTACTTCTTACTCATTTCAGGTCAGAGACTCTCTAAATAAAAGAAAAAGGATGACAGACCCTTATGTCTGCACATTCAAAGACAAAAAAACATTGCAGTTTTGTCATTTCTATCTCAATGGGTTAATTTAACATTGTGAGTCTGTGAGAGCCATGATATGTTTGCTCCGTTTGCCGCTATCAACAGTTCTAACATATGGAGGAGGATGTGAGCACACACATTGCCTAACGTTTTTAAATATATAGGACTCTTGAAGAAATTGGGTCTTTGATATTATTCACAAGTATGGTGTTTATCTGAAATTAGTTTATGTTGCTGGTTTAGTTGTAAATAATGCTTATGGGACTTTAAGACCCAGGTGGTTACCAAGCAGGTGGAGCAATTTTAAGTTTATTGGAAAAATAGTAATAACTGATTGTAACCGTGTTTAGAAAATTAGGCAAAGTAATACCATACCTCTGTGAAAATGGTATGATCATCAAATCCAGTTGTCACATGATAGTAAAGGAAATCTAATAATGAACCATGTTTCTGCTTCTTGAAGTATTCCTCAATCAATTCTTTCCGGCCTAAGCGGATGACAGAATCAGGTGTGGCACAGTTTAGCAAGACCTGTACGGCTTTGTTCTTCACATCTTCTTTGATTTGAGTATCAGTATGTGATTGCTTCATGTTCTCTGTCACTTGAAGAACAACTGAAGCACAAGTATCTGAATGGTAACCAATAAAAACATCTGAAGGCCTGTAAGTCTGGGTGTTACCAATGGTGTAGGCTTGTTTGCCTTTAGTGAAATCCTCTACCCAGGCTTCCAACACGCAAACGATAACCTTGTGTTCTTTTTTCAGGAATGTGTTTATATCCAAGTAATGTTTCTCAAGACGGTTGATGAGAGGAATTGGAAAATCTTTGTACACGACTTCTTTTTCTTCAATGACTACCAATCGGAACTTTGGATGGACTCTGCACTTGACACGATGTGTGCCTAAGCCCAGGTCAACATATTTTTGGCCAGCTAGATAGACATAGTATTGGTTCAATGCATCATAGAGGCTTTCATACAGGTTCTGTAGATTAAGCAGTATAACCATCTGTCCAGTTTCCATGCAAATCTTAACACGGTTGATATTTCGGCAAACCTGAGTATATTCTTGGTCCTTTGGAAAACTGGAGCCGAAGATGATTTCTGGTTGTTGGTTTTCCTTGAGGAAAGCTTGCTGAAGGATTTGTAATCCAGCATAGTTTTTGGTTAATATTAACAAGTAACGGCAATCATCACTGTCACTTCTGATGTTCTCCATCACCAAATCTATTGTGTTGCTACATTCTATATTTCTGCTTTCATCTCCTAGGAAAATTTCCAAGGCATTCACCTCATCTTTCCCGCTGAAATTCCTCAGGACAGCCCTAGCAATTTCATCCAGGGTCAGGCTGGTTTGAGACTGCTTGGTAAAAGCAAACACCATTTTTATCAGACTGTAGAAATCTCGTAGACCAAAGAATTCCTTTTCCTGTTCCTTTAAGGTTTTGCAAACTTTGAGATACCTCTCTGAGAAGTTAGAGAAGTATTGTGAGACTTTACAGAGAATTAATTTATTGGAAGAACAAATTCCTTTTGCACTTTCAATAAGCTCTTTTTTGTTTGGGTCACCTCGGGATACAAATATCCCTCGGTTCATTTTTGCTGGATCCAAAGCCCAATTAGAGATGCCAATAAATCCAACTTTTTTGTGTGGTGAGGTGTCATCATCAATGCATCCATCTTCTAGTAAAGGATGAAGTGTTTTTAAAGGCATTTTAGGGGAGTCTTCTGCAAGCCCTATTTCATCAAGTACAACTACAGACACATATTCGTTTAGATTCTTCCCTTCCTGGAATCTGGCACACTGCCTAAATGTACCAATAATCCCTTCTGGAGTTGAATGAGGACTACACTGAAAAGACACCAAGTGGATCTGCTTAAGGTCCTTATACAATTCTGTATGAGCTGTTTGGCCTTGCATAGCATCAGCAACAATAGTCTTTGCAAGAGACTTTGAACTTCCAGGTTTTCCAACCAGAAACAATGGAATTTTTAGCTCGATGCAGATGACCATCATAAAGAGGTTTTCCTTCAAAGCAAGATTTCTTGCAATGGTGTCCCTTAATTGTACACCTGCTAAGAAGAGCTCCTGAATGGAAGTTATTTCCTGTAAAATAATGGTGGGGTCTCTATAAGGCTGAGGAAATAATTTACATATAGCCCTCCTGAAAGAATCTTTGGTTTCCAAAGATGCATGATAGCACACGCCAACAGCAAGAACCAGAGACCAAGCTGCTTTATCTACCACACTGTCAGTACTTATTCTTCTCCGTGCCAGGGATAGATGATGTTTCAGCCTGTCATGACGGCTATAAAACCATTTGAAGACCTCTATGCAACGTTCCACATCCCTAAGGCTTACGAAGCTGCACTCATCATTTTTGTTTCTCATGTAGGACTGAGAGGCTGAAAGGACATCTGTTAACAACTGGATGTCAGAAGTAGAAAGCTGAATCTCTTTGGATAAGCGCAGCACAATCTGCTGAATGTATTTATTTTCAGTTTCATTGTTTAGTTGCCCAAAATCCCATACAAGTGGAATCATGCTAGGAGGCAAAGCGTGCACCCGATACACAAGCTGTCTCAGTGGAATGGAGCCAAGCCTTTCTTTTGTCTCATCTGCTCTCACTCTATAACCTAGTCCAGCAGATTCTAAACGTTTGATCATGTCATCAGTGTGCTTTCTGTAAGGGTTGCAAGCAGCAATGATATGTAGACCACAGTCTTCTTGCAAAGGCACCCCTTCTACCGTGTGATCACACAGGGCTTCTTTGATGCTGCTAATGGCCTCAGTGGTGTTTGCTTCATCAAAAAACAATACAGTTTCACATCCCTCTAGCTTGTTAATCTGTGCAATTTCTTGGGCTTCCAATATTTTTTGGTAGATTGTCTCAGAAGTGGTACCACCATGAACCTTTACAAGCTTCATGTTTTCTGTTTCAACATATCCCTTACACAAATGACACAAGAATTTAATCAGCCTGGTTTTCCCACAACCGGTTTCTCCCATGATGACTACAGGTATTCCACATCGGAACCTCATCTTAATTGCTAAAATCTTTAGCATGTTATCCATGGTGAGCTCATATGTTTCATCAGGGTCCATCGGCCACTGAATTCCTAGCACCATACATAAGCTGCTTATTTTCTCATGTCTGGGCAACTGGTCAAAATCAGTATTGAATGGCACTCTCTGAACCCTCAAGCCTTCATAAAGTTGCAAGGACATAACATTTTGTCGAATTATGCTGTTATTTCTAGGATTGATGGCATCCACCCCACCCGCATTATTTGGTTCCAGGTGGAATCCTATAAATGTCATGGATGCATGGTCTTCATTAAAGAATATATAGGGATGTGGCTCAGACTCCCATCTCTTGCGCATTAAGAAAGGTTCCAGGTCCTTGACTCCATCAAGATTAATCTCATATCTTCCTGGGCTTTGATCTGCAATGTGCATAGAAGGAGTAGCAAAGTCTTTTGCCATTAATATCATGAAATTCACCACAAAGTTTTTGAATCCTTGCAGTGTATCTCCAACAAACTCATGGTTACAGAACACTGAAGCTTCACAGTCTCTTAGCTGAAGGTTTAGAAACCATGCAAAGTTCCGGAGTTCAGACCATGAAGGGTCAACTATGCCACAGTAAAGAAGAAATATCTGCAGACATTGTGCTGGGTCTCCTTCGGTGTGTCCTTCTATGTACACAAACGCATCTAGATTTTGTCCCTGGTCAAAGCGAATCAGGTATTGGTACGGTCTCTGGAAACATTCACTACGAAATTCCTCAATGTCCATTCCTGGATCTCCACAATCAATTACATCAGTTTGTGTAGTTTTTGTGAGAACCTCTTTTGGAGAGCAGCAGTAAATCTTAGGGAAGAAGTCAATGAAACCATGTTGCACAATTCGAGGAACCTGCAGGTAAGAGAAAATAATAATTCTCAGTCAGACATCATACAACATTAGCTATGCATGTTTTTTTTCTTTATTTAAAGAAAATTGCTTCTTCAAAGTTAACATAAACCCCATTATTTAAATCAACTCAAAACAACTCCCTTGATGTCCTCTGTGTGACTCACATTGCAGTTACCGTGCTTCTGCAGCATCCTCCCACCTCTCTCAAGGATAGTGTCACACAGTAATTTTGCTTGCAAGCCCACTAACACTGATCCCTCCAAGGTCACCTTAACCTCCCAAACTCAAACCCCCTTCCCCCCCCTCCCCATCCTGGGGACATGCATTCTTTCTCGTCCGCCTCACCCAGTACCGCTGATACTGATTCCTTATGCTTGCCCATTATGGAAAAGCATAATTTATACGTTTTATTTAAAATACATTTGTGTTTTAAAGAATACATGGCTGCATTAATTTGTATCTGCTTATTAGCTTTAAAGCAGGTATAAAGCCTATCTAGTTGATATTTATTTTGCTAAAGCACTGTGTATCATAATGATTGCCATAGCTTTCGGGATTTTTTTTATTTTGTTTCTTAGAAAATCCCAAATTTCACATTTCCTTTTTTTAATCTTAATATAGCTGATATTCTCCATCCTCTATGCAGCTACTTCTTGTGTCTACATAGATTCGCTCCAGTGGCGGTTGTAGGTCATTGATCTGGACAGTCTTTCTGATTCTGAGAACGATAGAAAATTTCTGCACAACAAGCATTGGCATAGATGCTTATAGTCACTAATAGAAGTGTATGTGACAGGGTAACAATGCTGAAACACAATTAGGAGGAGTGTTGTCGCCCTCTAACAGGAAGCTCCTAAAGCAAGAACTTTATGACAGGATCTCCACGTCTGGCAACTAAAAATTCTGGAGTTAGAGAGAATGAATCTTCCTAATGGGGACGCAGACAGCAATAAAAACCCAACAGAGGTTATTTCCCTGCGCCACTGTTTCCAAATCTAATAGAATGTTTTCCCTATTTTTATACCTTAAGACGTTGAGAGAAACAGTCATTAATATAAATATTAAATAAAAATATAATCAATTCTTACAGATTTACATTGTTTTCTAAATAAAGTGTCTGAAGATTCCAAAATCTCAATGATGTACAGGTGACTGGGCAGACGCTTCCATATTCTTCCCTCAGAATCCATCAGATATTGCAGGACAAGGAGTTTAAACAGGAACTCTGAAATGCCACTTTTCACCTGTATTAAACAAACAAATATATCACAAGATGAAATACCACAGGCCTGACAGAGGTCGTATTTCATTCTAAACAAACATATCCTTGATCTGAATAAACTATACATACTTCTCTCTGTATTATGTCAAATAATTGTACATACTGGTCTCTGTCCTATGCCAAATAAATTGTACATATTGGTCTTCGTTTTGTGTTGATGTTAATTGTGAACAATCTCCGAAAACATGTGTGCATGCATATTAACCCCTTCCTGACCAATGGGGGGATTTTCCTGTCGCCATCCTTCTGTTCGTTAAGGACCAGTGATGGGATAATCCCGTCATGCGGTACACAGAGCTTAGAAATACTAAGTATCAAAGCCCCTGGAAATGAAAAAATGTGCCCCCTATTTTTTTAAAAAAATAAAAAATTTAAAATATAAAAAGTTTTATAAATTTACAAAAGAAAAAACAGTTTAAAAAAATGTTTAATAAAAAATGTATAAGAATATATAGCGCCAAAGAGGCTATTAAAGATAGGAGACAAACATATCACATACCACATTCTAAAATTGTTCCACACTAAAATTGTATTCCACTCCTTGTATTGTGACATGTAACTCCCAAAATAAAGTGAAATCCCAGGCACATGATATACGTTATAAATCAAGACAAATATAAGAATATATTATTAATCTCTTCACGGCCCATCCCATCTTGAAGTCTGAAGGGGTTAAATAGACTCCAGGAAAAAGCCGAGGGGAGTCTGTTCAGTTTTGTAGAGCCAGTGGCCGGCTTTACAGTAGAAGCGATTCGGGCGGCTGCCGCCAGATTGCTTCTACGATCCGGTAACTGAATGAAAAAAAGGCCTTTGTCCTTAAGGGTTAATCGCTTTCTGTTAGCTACACTAATTATGTACACATTATTATTGCCAACACTGTGAAAAAATGTGTTTGGTTTTTTTTCCATTTGTTTGAAAAAAATAAGAATTTCTATATGTATATGTCCCATCCACTTAAACACCATTTTGTTCTTTAACAAACGGTATATAATATGTGTAGGTGCAATGAATGAGGAAGATGGAAATGATGGATAAACAAACACATAGCAAAAATGGCAAAATTGCTACGGTCCCCAGAAGCGAAAAAAATTTCTTGAATCTGTGCAACTAAGGCGTTAAAGTGTATGTAAACCCTAACAATGAACTTCTACTTTCTCAGTTTTTGGCCTGATAACTATAGTATTAAAAGTTTTTTCAAATAAAGACATTTGTGAAAAGGACACCGTTCATATTCATATGCCCAAACTCATCCGTCCTGTCCAAAAAAAATGGGTGCCGACCGACAGGGGCATGCCATGGCTGTCACTAGTAATCCAATGTATGTAAAGCAAAACACATGACAATTGCACTCATCAATTCGTCACCAGCTTTACAGCAAGGTGCACCCAATTTTATCTTCTGCTCCATGTGCTCCAAGATGGAGACTCTGATAGTTTAGAGTTAGGACCGCACTATAAGAGGTGCCTTGGCGCGGCTGTGGGGCTTTCACATTTTCTGCAGAAGACGTGTATCCAAACCTCTGTTATTAACCTTAGTGGTGAGACAAGTTTTTTTACATGCTAGCTTGTGAGTGTGCTTTATCATTATCAGTTAGCACTGTCCCCAGTTCTCTCTGTGGATTTCCCTTACCCCTATGCTGTAGAGATAAGGAGAGGGGAAGGTGTTCTGAAGTCTTAACACTTTCTGTGATAACGCTGCTTCCTCGCAGATACAGTTCAGTAAGTGAAGTCAGGAAGTGTGTGTTCTTGTTAGGACCACCAAGTGAAAAACAAAAAGGGGGCGTGGCTTACCACGTGTGACGCAGATTCAGGAGCTCCTAGGCAAATTCCTCCAAATCCTGCTATTATCCTGGGCATCCTCTTTTAAACACACCTGTATCGGCCTCTGAATACACTTCTGCCTCCCCTGCCCCCTTCTTCACTCTTATGTTAGGATCGACATTGTGGTGCATCATGACTAAGAAAAAGCATGCACTAAAGGGCTGGCAGCGCGCCTTGAGAGATTTGCCAGGGAGGCTCCGGGGACGATACCTCCCTACTCCACCTTGAACGATCTCTGTGGCTCCAAAGAATATGAACGGGATGATGCTCCACTACTGCACTAAACAGTGCCCCTTGACCGCCACACCCATGCTTGCAGATGTGTACTCAGCCGTTCAAATGTGTAACTCTTCCCTGGCTTTGCTGTCAGACCAAGTACATGGCATGAGAGTGGACATTTCCTTTTTCTGAGTGACTTGGAAGATATTACCTCTCCCATGCAAATTGATCTCAAGCTTGCTTTATAGCGGTCTGATGCTAACTCTGCAGTTTGAAGATCTTGAAACGTAACAATATTAGGGTGGTCGGTATATTGTAAGCTGCGAGAGTTGGGGGACGTCTCCACGGTGGGGTCCCCGCAAGTAGTGCAGAAAAGAAGTGTGAAAGAAGATTTTCAAAGAAAGAAGAAGTGGAAAAAAAACTGGGTCAATTGAAACTACAATATTCCATGATCTACCCAGCCAGACTTTGAGTTATTGCAGATGGTACTACTGTCTTCTCTGACTTCCTAACTTTGGCCTCCACCTGGTTGGACAGGAGATCTCGCAGACGCAATGGTACCTGATCACTTTGGTTCCCATTGGCTCTGATGGTGATTCTGCTATCCTTGTTTCATACTATTTTTCAGGCTGTCAACTATCATCAGTTTACTGGTATTCTGCTTGCGGAGATGGATTGCTTTCTATATTTGATTCCATTGCTCGCCAAGTTGTGTACGCCATCTTGCCTTCATAAGTTCATGAATGTCTCGGTGGATTGCTCAATAGTTGCAATGTCTTTAACCCCCTTTTTTAGCTCCTGTGGGGAGCATGTTTACATCTGTTTGATGCATTTTTTGGAAATCTTAATTGTTGTTTTTCATGATGTTTCTTTTTTGTGTGAATCCCTTCAAACACAATATCCATCCTCTAGCACTAGTAAAAAAAAAAAATTAAAACATGCTGGTTGTAGGAGGGGCTATCATAGGCTGGACTGCAATTTTTTTGTTTGCAAGTGGCCAGTCCTCCTCTGGGCAGCACTATAACCCAACAGTTAATGATTTCCTGTGTCTCTCACTGAACAAGAAAATATTTTTAACAAAAAGTTAGCAAAACGGAACAGCTGAAGAAAATACGCCCATCCTAGAACACTAGCAACAAACTGAGGCATGCTGAGAGTAGGAAAAATATTTTAGTTGGATGGTTGCAATTTTTATATTTGCCAGTGTCCAATCCAATCCTCTAGTAGGTGACAGCATAACCCAACAGTTTCTGAATTCCTGTGTCCCTCAATAGACAATAAAAAATCATTAATTTCCATCATCACTTTGACTGTCAATAAGTATAACTGTGGCCACAAATGAAAAAAAAATATGTAGTGGAAAACTTAACTCTATATATTTACATAGTGGGTAAAGTTGAATAAAGACATAGGTCCATCCAGTTCAACCTATGTGTGTGTATTCGTGTATACATCAGCGCTTAGTTTTCTTAGTCCCCCTTCAAAGACCTATAAATACTTGTTGATCCTGCCAGAGAAGTCAAAGAAGCAACCTAACACAGCTTCTTATGATGGTTTGACAACAATACTGTACTACAACTAAATTAAGAACAGTTTTGTCATGTAGGTTGTACGTTATTGTACTACAGTGGCATGACATTTTTTTGCCAGGGGCTTCGCTATTAGCATTGCCATTGCTGTTTTACAAGTCTGTAGCACCTGGCCACACAAAGTCCTACCCGCTGCTTTCTGGATTGACACCCTCTACTAATTGCAATGTCTGGGAGAGAGAGCATGTGAGAAATAAGTGAAGGAGGATTTGGCTCAGTTAGAAAAGGTAAAATAAGTTTTTGTTTACTTTATTAGGCTTGCGCATGACATAGTAAGTGTATTTGGTACTTGTTTAGATTGTCATACAGGAGCCTTTAGTTAATTACCCTTTTAGAAACAGTACTCTGGAAAGTTGCTTAATACAGTCATAACCATACAAACATTCTTGTGCCTAGCCTTTCTAATATATAGTGTATAGTTGTAGATTTTACCACCATATAGGCAGTTGTTGCTACGGTATATTCTCATATACTGTCTCCCAGCTTCTGAGTGTGCAGGGTGAAGTCACACTGAGAACAGGAAGGCAACTGTCAAATTTTAGCTGACCAACTTCACTTTTTGTTTCAAGCTGAAAAGTTAGACAAAGACAAAGTGAATAAAGCTGAATAAGGCTGAAAAATATAGTATAATGTATAACTGAACATAATGATTCTTGCCTAGGACCAGGCATGAATGGCTTTCTTTAAACTGTGAAGCCAAGAGAGCTACTAGTGGTGCTCTAAGTCTTCATTCACACCAAGGAGTTTGGAATTTTTGCATGTTTTATGCACACAAAAAAACAGATTTTTGTGTGCGCATTTAAACACTAAATTTTTAATAGACACAACAATGCGCCTTTGCACCACAGTCAGTTGTGGATAGAACGTGCTGAAATCTGTCCAAAAAATTGTGCATGTACACCGTGTTGGGTGTTTTTGCACACATGTAGGACCGCACAGGTGTGAACAATCGCCATAGGAATGTGTTGCTTTTTATGAATTGCGTGTTTACGCCAGAAAGGGTCGGTGCTAGGATTTTTGCCTACACAGGCAAAGTTGCCTGCTCCTTATCAGCATGTTTTTTTTTTTCACTTACCTTCGGTGCGGGAGAGCAGCGGCGAGTCAGCGCTGGTCCGGTGGGAGGAGCTCCAGGTGGGGTCCTAATTTAGCTGGCCGGCGACTGCCAGAGGTGCTGCGCGTATTGGGATCCTCTGGCAGTCGTTGGCCAGCTAAATTAGGACCCCACCTGGAGCTCCTCCCACCGGACCAGCGCTGACTCACCGCTGCTCTCCGAAGGTAAGTGAAAAAAAAACATAGCGCAAGCATTGGGGCAAGTACTTGTCAAAATGCCATGTTTTTTCCACCCTCACCCTGCAGCGCCCTCAGACGGCCGCTTGCCTTGCCTTGTGGTAGCACCGGGCCTGATGCCAGAAAACACCTATGTGTAAATGCAGGTCTCAAAGGAAAGCAGTTTATTTTTTCTGGCCCCAGCAATATTGAATTTATTAGCATTTATGATACAACAATTTGTACATTGCTCAGATATTATTTTACTTACAGAAGATGTAATGTCGATATGGAATATTATAGGACAGCTCTTCGATTTCCCATTTAGAAAAGGAAGTAAGGTTTCCAATACTTTGTTCTCATCCACCTCTGGCTTAATGAGTCGAATTATTTTGAGAAGTGGCTTATTACTTGAAAATTTTGACCCAAGTCTTTGGTAAAGCCTTTTCACATACAGAGATTTTCCTGGGGTAAAAGAAACATTTAATAGTGTTATACCGGTAACCAAGTACAATACATTAAAGAAAAAATATTAAAACTGCAAAACTTATCACTAAATGGTGCACCTTTTTCATAGTCACATTGCAGCCCAACACATAGCTGTGAACAGGCCCCATAGCAAAAAAGCCAAAGCACGTGAACTTGCATAAGTGTGAATGTGGACTTACTCTTGGCCTGTAGTAATGTTTGCACTCTTTATTGTACAGTAAAGACTGTAGACAGGCTAAATTAAAGCAAAGCATTATTTACACTGCCACAGTCCTGTAATGAGAATTCACAAAGCATATACATAGTTACATAGTATTTGAGGTTGAATAAAGACATATGTCCATCAAGTCCAACCTATTGTGTGTGTGTGTGTATGGGTCCCTGTGTCATCTCGTTATTAGGAGTACCTGTACCCCTGTATATTACCGTTTCTCAGGAAATCGTCCAAAAGCTTCTTGAATGATTCTAGACTATAAGCTGAAATCACTGCTTGTGGCAGTGAGTTCCAGACCCTAACCGCGCAAACTGAGAAGAACCCCCTTCGCCCCTTGTGTTTGAATTTTTTTTCTACCAGTTTCAGGTGGTGTCCTCTAGTCTTTGTTACGGAATTTATCTTGAAGAGTTTTTGCTAATGTCGCTATGACTATGGAACATTTTGTACATGAAAATCATGTCCCCCCTTAATCTCCTTACTTCCAGCGTGAACATATTTACATTTAGTAGCCGTGTCTCATAGCTCTTGTCCTCCATCCCTTTGATGAGTTTGGTTGCCCTCCGCTGGACTCCCTCCAGCTCAAGGACATCCTTTCTGTGCACCGGTGCCCAAAACTGCACCGCATACTCCAGGTGGGGCCGAACCAGTGATGTGTACAGTGGCAAAATTATAGACTTGTCCCTGCAAAACATTCCCTTCTTGATGCAGGACAGGATTCTACTAGCCTTGCTTACCGCAACCTGGCACTGTAATCTATTATTGAGTTTATGGTCTACAATGACCCCCATATCTTTCTCCATTTCTGACTTCCCTAGCGGCATACCCATTATTGTATAACCCATTTGCTTATTATTTATCCCAAAGTGCATAACTTTGCATTTATCGACATACCTCATACAAACCTCATACAAACCTCATCTGCCACATAGTTGCCCACTCCCCTATTTTATCTAGGTCCTCCTGCAATGTTACTCTATCTTGGTCCGTTTCTATTACCCTCCCAATTTTGGTATCGTCAGCAAACACTGAAATATCGCTGTGTACTCCGTCCCCGATGTCGTTAATAAACAGGTTGAATAGCATGGGTCCCAGCACAGAACCCTGAGGCACACAGCTAATGACACTAGCCCCGTCTGAAAGGGCGCCATTTATTGATACTCTCTGTACCGGTTCCTTTAGCCAGTTCTCTATCCACGTACACACCCTTCCATCTATGCCCATAGACCGCAGCTTGTATAGTAAGCATTTATGAGGTACCGTATCAAAAGCCTTAGCGAAATCCAGATATACCACATCCACAGACCTCCCTCCATCCAGATCTCTACTTACCCCCTCGTAAAAAGTCAGTAGATTTGTCTGACAGGAACGGTCTTTCCTAAACCCATGCTGATTATCGCTAACTATACCATTATCCTGAACAAATTCTACTAAATAGTCCTTAATCATTCCCTCTAACAGTTTACAAACTACCGATGTAAGACTAACTGGTCTGTAATTCCCAGGTTGGCATCTTGCCCCGTTTGAAAATTGGAACTACCGTTGCCCTCCGCCAGTCCCTAGGAACTCTACCCGTCATTAGTGAGTCCTTAAAAATGATGAATAATGGTCTTGTTATAACCGCGCTTAGTTCCCTAAGTATCTTGGGGTGCAGATTATCCGGTCCCACTGCTTTATTCACATTAAGTAGACTAAGCCTTTGTTGTATCCCGGGTTCTTTCAGCCACTTGGCTATATTCTGTGATGAACTAAGTGTTTTATCGTAGGCGTCAAACCCGTTTCCCTCCTGAGTGTATACTGAGGAGAAAAAAGAGTTCAGTACTTCGGCCCTCTCCTTGTCATTTGTGACTAACTTCCCTCTTTCATCCTTTATTGGGCCTATCTTTTCCTTTCTCACCTTTTTACTGTTTATATATTGGTAAAAATTTTTTTATTTTTTTTTAACTATCTATGGCAATATGTCTTTCGCACTCTATTTTAGCCGCCCGTATTGCTAGTTTGCATTTTTTATTGCTTTCTTTGTAGTTATGGAACGCCAATGCCGTCCCCTCTATCTTATATTTTATGAAAGCCATTCGCTTTTCCTTTATGTGATGCTTTACATTTTTATTCAGCCATACAGGTTTTGTTTGTGATCTTTTACTTTTATTACCCAACGGTATACATTTGGCAATGGCAATATGTAATGTGTTTTTAAAACATTCCCACTTTTGGTCCGAGTTCAGTTTATGAAATAAATGTTCCCATTTGATGTCCCCCACTAGGTGGCGCAGTTTATCAAAGTTGGCCCTTCTGAAGTTAAGGGTTTTTGTCCTACCAGCCCTCTTTCCTTTCCTGTATTCAAT